GAATCAAATACCATTAGACTTCTCATGACATGGGCTCTCTTTTGATAGGTAAATCATTACCTAAAATGTTCGTTCAGATTTTAGGTTTTTTAAAATGAGTGATATGTCATAATGAAATTTATAAAGAATACAAAGACATTTGCTCATATCTCTGCACCAAACATTGTATAAGAATGAATCAAATACGATTAGACTTCTCATGACATGGCTCTCTTTTGATAGGTAAATCATACCTAAACAAATTTGGTTCAGATTTTAGGTTTTTTGAATTGAGTGATATCTCATAATGAAATTTATAAAGAATACAAAGACACTTTTTGCATATCTCTGCAACCAAAAATTGTATAAGAATGAATCAAATACATTGGACTTCTCATGACATGGGCTCTCTTTGATAGGTAAATCATTACCTAAAATGTCGTTCAGATTTTAGGTTTTTTAAAATGAGTGATATGTCATAATGAAATACCCTGGGAAGATAAGTCTTTGACTTACCAGGTATACATGTAATATTTTTAACCCTCTGCAAATAAAGTTTATTGATGATTGATGATTGATAAAGAATACAAAGACACTTTTGCTTATATCTCTGCACCCAAACAATTGTAAAAGAATCAATCAATTACCATTGGACTTCTCATGACATGGGCTTTCATTTGATAGGTAAATCATTACCTAAAATGTTTGGTTCAGATTTTAGGTTTTAAAATGAGTGATATCTCATAATGAAATTTAAAAGAATACAAAGACACTTTTGCTTATATTTCTGCACCCAAACATTGTATAAGAATCAATCAATACCATTGGACTTCTCATGACATGGGCTCTCTTTTGATAGGTAAATCATGACCGAAAAAATTTTGGTTCAGATTTTAGGTTTTTTAAAATGAGTGATATGTCACATGAAATTTATAAAGAATACAAAGACACTTTTGCTCATATCTCTGCACCCAAACATTGCATAAGAATCAATCAAATACCACTGGACTTCTCATGACATGGGCTCTCTTTTGATAGGTAAATCATCACCTAAAATTTTGGTTCCGATTGTAGGTTTTTTAAAATAAGTGATATGTCATAATGAAATTTATAAACAAAACAAAGACACTTTTGCTCATATCTCTGCAACCAAAATTGTATAAGATAGAATCAAATACTATTAGACTTCTCATGACATGGGCTCTCTTTTGATAGGTAAATCATAACCTAAAATGTTTTGGTTCAGATTTTAAGTTTTTTAAATGAGCGATATGTCATAATGAAATTTATAAAGAATACAAAGAAACTTTTGCTCATATCTCTGCAAAAAAATTGTATAAGAATGAATCAAATATTATTAGACTTCTCATGACATGGGCTCTCTTTTGATAGGTAAATCATTACCTAAAATGTTTTGGTTCAGATTTTAAATTTTTCAAAATGCGTGATATCTCATAATGAAATTTATAAAGAATACAAAGACACTTTTGCTTATATCTCTGCACCCAAACATTGTATAAGAATCAATCAAATACCATTGGACTTCTCATGACATGGGCTCTCTTTTGATAGCTAAATCATCACCTAAAAATTTTTGGTTCAGATTTTAGGTTTTTTAAAATGAGTGATATCTCATAATGAAATTTATAAAGAATACAAAGACACTTTGCTTATATCTCTGTACCCAAACATTGTATAAGAATCAATCAAATACCATTAGACGTCTCATGACATGGGCTCTCTTTTGATAGGTAAATCATCACCTAAAAAATTTTGGTTCAGATTTTAGGTTTTTTAAAATGAGTGATATGTCATAATGAAATTTATAAAGAATACAAAGACACTTTTGCTCATATCTCTGCAACCAAAAATTGTATAAGAATGAATCAAATACATTATACTTCTCATGACATGAGCTCTCTTTTGATAGGTAAATCATCATTTAAAAATTTTGGTTCAGATTTTAGGTTTTTTAAAATGAGTGATATCTCATAATGAAATTTATAAAGAATACAAAGACACATTTGCTCATATCTCTGCAACCAAACATTGTATAAGAAGGAATCAAATACCATTAGACTTCTCATGACATGGGTTGCTCTTTTGATAGGTAAATCATCACCTAAAAAATTTGGTTCAGATTTTAGGTTTTTTGAAATGAGTGATATCTCATAATGAAATTTATAAAGAATACAAAGACACTTTTGCTCATATCTCTGCAACCAAAATTGTATAAGAATGAATCAAATACCATTAGACTTCTCATGACATGCCTCTTTTGATAGGTAAATCATTACCTAAAATTTTGGTTCAGATTTTATTTTTTAAAATGACTGATATCTCATAATGACATTTATAAAGAATACAAAGAGAAACTTTTGCTCATATCTCTGCAACCAAACATTGTATAAAAATCAATCAAATACCATTAGACTTCTGATGACATGGGCTCTCTTTTGATAGGTAAATCATTACCTAAAATGTTTTGGTTCAGATTTTAAATTTTTTAAAATGAGTGATATCTCATAATGAAATTTATAAAGAATACAAAGACACTTTTGCTTATATCTCTGCACCCAAACATTGTATAAGAATCAATCAAATACCATTAGACTTCTAATGACATGGGCTCTCTTTTGATAGGTAAATCATCACCTAAAAAGTTTGGTTCAGATTTTAGGTTTTTTAAAATGATTGATATGTCATAATGAAATTTATAAAGAATACAAAGACACTTTTGCTCATATCTCTGCAACCAAAATTGTATAAGAATGAATCAAATACCATTAGACTTCTCATGACATGGGCTCTCTTTTGATAGGTAAATATAACCTAAAATGTTTTGGTTCAGATTTTAGGTTTTTTAAAATGAGTGATATCTCATAATGAAATTTATAAAGAATACAAAGACACTTTTGCTTATATCTCTGCACCCAAACATTGTATAAGAATCAATCAAATACCATTAGACTTCTCATGACATGGGCTCTTTTTGATAGGTAAATCATCACCTAAACAAATTTGGTTCAGATTTTAGGTTTTTTAAAATGAGTGATATCTCATAATGAAATTTATAAAGAATACAAAGACACTTTTGCTCTTATCTCTGCAACCAAAACTTGTATAAGAATGAATCAAATACTATTAGACTTCTCATGACATGGCTCTCTTTTGATAGGTAATCATAACCTAAAATGTTTTGGTTTAGATTTTAGGTTTTTTAAAATGAGTGATATGTCATAATGAAATTTATAAAGAATACAAAGACACTTTTGCTCATATCTCTGCAACCAAAAATTGTATAAGAATGAATCAAATACCATTAGACTTCTCATGACATGGGCTCTCTTTTGATAGGTAAATCAGTACCTAAAATGTTTTGGTTCAGATTTTAGGTTTTTTAAAATGAGTGATATGTCATAATGAAATTCATAATCAATACAAAGACACTTTTGCTTATATCTCTGCACCCAAACATTGTATAAGAATCAATCAAATACCATTAGACTTCTCATGACATGGGCTCTTTTGATAGGTCACCAACAAATTTTTCAGATTTTAGGTTTTTTGAATGAGTGATATCTCATAATGAAATTTATAAAGAATACAAAGACACTTTTGCTCATATCTCTGCAACCAAAAATTGTATAAGAATGAATCAAATACCATTAGACTTCTCATGACATGGGCTCTCTTTTGATAGGTAAATCATTACCTAAAATGTTTTGGTTCAGATTTTAAATTTTTTAAAATGAGTGATATCTCATAATGAAATTTATAAAGAATACAAAGACACTTTTGCTTATATCTCTGCACCCAAACATTGTATAAGAATCAATCAAATACCATTGGACTTCTAATGACATGGGCTCTCTTTTGATAGCTAAATCATCACCTAAAAAATTTTGATTCAGATTTTAGGTTTTTGAAAATGAGTGATTTCTGATAATGAGATTTATAAAGAATACAAAGTCACTTTTGCTTATATCTCTGCAACCAAAAATTGTATAAGAATGAATCAAATACCATTAGACTTCTCATGACATGGGCTCTCTTTGATAGGTAAATTATAACCTAAAATGTTTTGGTTCAGATTTTAGGTTTTTTAAAATGAGTGATATCTCATAATGAAATTTATAAAGAATACAAAGACACTTTTGCTTATATCTCTGCACCCAAACATTGTATAAGAATCAATCAAATACCATTAGACTTCTCATGACATAGGCTCTATTTGTGATAGGTAAATCATCATCGAAAAATTTTGGTTTAGATTTTAGGTTTTTTAAAATGAGTGATATCTCATAAGGAAATTTTATAAAGAATACAAAGACACTTTTGCTCTTATCTGTGCAACCAAAACTTGTATAAGAATGAATCAAATACTATTAGACTTCTCATTACATGGGCTCTTTTTTGATAGGTAAATCATAACCTAAAATGTTTTGGTTCAGATTTTAGGTTTTTTAAAATGAGCGATATCTCATAATGAAATTTATAAAGAATACAAAGACACTTTTGCTCATATCTCTGCAACCAAAATTGTATAAGAATGAATCAAATACCATTAGACTTCTCATGACATGGGCTCTCTTTTGATAGGTAAATCAGTACCTAAAATGTTTTGGTTCAGATTTTAGGTTTTTTAAAATGAGTGATATGTCATAATGAAATTCATAATCAATACAAAGACACTTTTGCTTATATCTCTGCACCCAAACATTGTATAAGAATCAATCAAATACCATTAGACTTCTCATGACATGGGCTCTCTTTTGATAGGTAAATCATCACCTAAACAAATTTGGTTCAGATTTTAGGTTTTTTGAATTGAGTGATATGTCATAATGAAATTTATAAAGAATACAAAGACACTTTTGCTCATATCTCTGGAACCAAAAATTGTATAAGAATGAATCAAATACTATTAGACTTCTCATGACATGGGCTCTCTTTTGATAGGTAAATCATTACATAAAATGTTTTGGTTCAGATTTTAAATTTTGTAAAATATGTTTTACCTTTATCAAGCCATGTTCTTTCCTCTATATCATCATGTGCACACTTATTGAAGACAGGATTAGGAAGGTCTTTGTGAACATTAGCAACATGTTCCAAAGATGATTCCAATTTTGCCCAAATGACTTGGCCATTACCATCAGCTGTGGATGTGGCACTCCAGATGAGATGGTTAACACATGGCTTCACCCATGGTAAAAGCACCTCACAATCGTTCTCCTTAGCAATTTTGCTCAGTACTTTTGAAACCTCTAAAGAATATACAGTATGTCTTTAGTATGTTTGTATATTCTACATAGCAATTATGTAATATTTATAGCACATACTTTTGTCAAATGCCACAGGTCAAAGTAGTGAGTGATTTCTGGCAGCTTTTCTCGCATGTGTTTGGCAATGGATGAATGGCGATCAGACACAAAAGTGTTAACATTCAAATCATTTTTTGATACATCCTCCATTGATCTTGTGAAAGCCATATATTCCATGGCAGGACTGCTGCCAGCTTCATTTCTCTAAATGGTGAAAAATATGCAAATATATAATATGCTAAGAGTTCATAAATCTACAATATATTATGCAATTACACAGTACCTGCACTAAACTGAAATCAATTATTGCATTTATTGGATCATCACAACAGAACAAACTATATGCACAGTATTTTGCGCTATGTCCCATACTGTCATGACGACCATCCCCAGCTAAAACAATGCCATCTATTTCTTTCAACTTTGCTTGCCATGATGCTTTGTATGATTTCCAATGCATATGAATGGTGGGAAACAGCTTGGTCTTAAAATAAAGAGATCTTCATAATAAGTACAAGGTGATGGAAATTCCTCACCAAGCATCCTTTTCTTCATTTGCCTCAACTTTTTCGTTAATTCATTGCAATTGCTACAACTTGATGGCATTGTCTGGACCCACGCGGTCTTTACATTTCCTTCAATATCACCCTAAAATATATAGATATAGACTTTATATGCATAATTTTGATAGATAGAATTTGTTTGCATAATTCCGGAAATTACTCCGTCTTTAATACCATGTCAGTTTCTTCTGCTGATTGTTGTTCAAGCATCTCAACTCATAAATCGTGTTGGTCACTCTCTGCTGTTGGGCATTGTTCAAAACTCTCGGTTGATGAACATGATGCTGCTTGACTATGAGATTTTGTAGCGCCACACTTTTCATAATCTGTTTGTTTAGCACGAAGAGTCTATAAATAGATAAAATATCATTTTACTATTTATTTAAAAGACAAAGGTCAAAGTCTAAATACAAATTACAGCATAATGCCTATGAAATGTCCCATAATGATACATTCATCATCCGCAGTGACTTTGCGCAGAGTATGCAAAATACGGGAATCAAAACCATAAAGAATAAAGTACTAGTATAAAGTATTGATGATACTCACTATTCGACGGCGGTCTCTCGCGGATAACGTGCTACTTGTCTCGCAGTATTTTGAAGGAAACACACATATGCCTATATTGTCTTGCTTCAAGCGAGGAGCCACGAGCAATGGTTTATCTGCGTCAGGCATTTCATTGACGCCAATGTAGCGATTCACAAAATCCTCTTCTTTAAAATGTTTAGAGCAAACTTCTGAATGGACAGAAGGCTCCCATCTTTCACGTTTCCGTCGGAGAAAATCTACCCAAGTCTTTCTTCGCTTTTTTGCCTCGGGCCGCATATCATTCGCATACGGAATTCTGTGCAGTGCAATTCCTTCGCGTAAATTCGCTGTGTTGGAACAACCAAAGACGACACACCTGTGTGGCATCTTAACACTGAAGATGCCGAACACAAAAGGCGTAAATCTTCAAAAAATATTCGCTTAACCCCGCTTTTACAATGCAGCACTGTCTTATTTCTATAGAAAAGCGCATTGTTCTCTTTGCGACTTCCCGATTTGACGTCACACATAACATTAGTTACCAGTTTTTTCAGGGTCACGGTCAAACGTTAAAATTGTCAAAATCACCAAATTTGAGGCCCTCAAAGTCAATGAAGATGAAATTTCCGACCTATCAAATATATTGCAAAAGTTCTTAAAATCGTCTAAACTATCTAAAAAGTCTATTTCCCCAATCATGACATAGGCACTTTAATATTGATTTGCTGAATTTGAAATTCAGTACGAATGTTCAGAAGGGATTCGTAAAGGATACAACAGAATATTAGACCAGCAGTTTATTTCAATAAGGTCAAAAAATTTCAAAACAATTGTTCAAAATTGCAATTTTTCCCTTATATGAGATATCAGATTTTGAAAGCTAAATTCTTTAATATTGATTTGCTGAACTTGAAATTCAGTAACAATGTTCAGAAGGGATTGGCAAAGGATACAACAGAATATTAAACCAGCAGTTAATTTCATTCAGGTCATGAAATTTGAAACCATGGTCTAAAATAGCAATTTTTACCTTATATGAGATATCAGATTTTGAAAGATAAATTCTTTAATATTGATTTGCAGAACTTGAAATTCAGTAACAATGTTCAGAACGGATTTGCAAAGGACACAACAGAATATTAGACCAGTAGTTTTTTTCATTTAGTTCAAAAAATTTGAAAACCATTGTCTAAAATAGCAATTTTTCCCTTATATGAGATGTCAGACATTGAAAGTTAAATTCTTTAATATTGATTTGCTAGATTTCAAATTGAGCAAGAATGTTGAGAAGGGATTGACAAAGCATACAACAGAATATTAGACCAGCAGTTCATTTCATTAAGGTCAAAAAATTTGAAAATCTTTATCTAAAATAGCAATTTTTCCCTTATATAAAACGTCAGATTTTGAAAGGTAAATTCTTTAATATTTATTCTGAACTTGAAATTCAGTAACAATGTTCCGACGGGATTGGCAAAGGATACAACAGAATATTAGACCAGCAGTTCATTTTATTCAGTTCAAAAAATTTGAAAACTATGGTCTAAAATAGCAATTTTTCCCTTATATGAGATGTCAGATTTTTAAAGATAAATTCTGTAATATTGATTAGCCATTAATGGCGCGCGCTTGGAATGGGGAATTAATTGATGTGCACGCGCTGAAGAACGTGCATGATCAAAAGTTTTACGTATAAAAACTTTTATTTTTAAATAATTAGCTACTCTTATATTTTTCTTTCTCTGTTTAATTCTGTTGTGTAATTTAGGAGTGTTACTACAAGACGAGTCTCAAATTAATCCACTCGTTCTCAAGACTATTTAGTTTAAAAACAGTTTTACCTTTGCAAAGCTATTCGATTTCTATATATAAAAGTTACAAAAAAGGATCACCGCTTATTGCTCCATTGTTACTACAAAAGGAAATCTAAACTAACTTAACTTATCTATGCATGCAGGATAGCTCTATCAGCTTTAAACATTTCTTCCCAACTTAAGGCCGGAAAGGATCATCTCTTATTAATCCAGTGATACTACATGAAGAAACCTAAACTAAACTAAGTTTGTTTATACTGGATATATAGCTCTATCTTTTAAACTGTTCTTAATATAAATGCGAAAGGTTCATATTATTAACTTGCATTTAAGGTTCTATAAGTTGATATATAGTACGCAGTAATGACCTACCTCTGTACTGGCATTGTGGGCCAGTGAATTCCTCCAGGCAAACGCATTCAGCAGCGTCTCCTGCCTCGCGTAGGGAAACAGCCATGGTTCGTGGAGGACAGAAACGTAATGCAAAACCTTCTTGCGAAAACAGGATCATCAATAATCCAAAAATTGCTACCAAAAATGTCATAATATCGCCTTGCTTCATTGCGCTATGTCAAACTCGAAAGAAGCAAAATAAATTTACGCTATAATTGAAAGATTGTGACGTTCATAATTGCTTGCGTCGGAGCGTGGCGTTGGAACGAGAACAATCAAAGAAAATTGTTCCCAGTTTCCCAGTGCCTCTCGTTTTTTACTCAGACACAAAAAAACAGAAACTGAATCTGCCCACAAAGGACCAGTTATAGTTTTACAAAAGCTATTTTCTCTTTTTTGCCGCTTGCTACCTTTTCCTGTTGGACTATAGTAACGTGAAGTTTAAACTTTCAAATGGCGCAAGTTGTTCAAAATTGTTTGCTTATTAATGCTGCATGATAACTGGTTTTTGCCTTATAATTTTAGCGGCGAATTTAGCGAGTTCTAAACAGTATGGCTGTGTGCTAAGCTAAAGAGCATGTTCCTCGTAAATATTTGATGCTTCGTTTTCTATTTTGAGAAATTTTAGGGACTTTTTTCACCAAACCGCGAGAGAGCTGTAAGCAATGGGCTTCGGTCCCACCGTACGTTTTGTACGGTATCTCCATGGAAGATCTTTTGACCATTGTTTTATACAAAAACAATTACAATAGAATACCACACGCATCTTTCCGAGAAAATAAAATCATATTTTATTAACATCGAAAATGGGCTTTTTGTAAGCACTGTTCGGCTGGGCAGAAAGCCACAGGGCAAATTTTAGGGACTTTTCTCACCAAACCGCGAGAATTGTAAGGAAAGGGCTCCAGTACCACCGTGCGTTTTGTACATCTCCATGGAAGGTCTTTTCCCCATTGCTTTATAGAAAAAGAATAACAATAGAATACCACATGTATCTTTCCGAGAAAATAAAATAATATTTTATTAACACCGAAAACGGGCTTTTTGCAAGCACTGTTCGGCTGGGAGAAAGGCCGCCCGCAAAAAATACAAAATACCCAACTTTGTTAATTAAATCTAGTTTATTACAAATAGCATGCAATGACACCATACAATTTTACACATTTTCACCTTTAATACTATTATTTTCTTAAATTTTAATCGAGAGCAATAAACTATGGCAAACACAAGTCACTTGCGGGTAACACGTCATTGTAACAAATTGCGTAGTAAACTTGTATCATACAACAGAAGATGCGTATACACGAACTGCTTCTCGAGCCCAAACACGCTTGAAACATCGCATGCAGCAATCAAATCCATGTTTTACTTTCGTCTTGAAATTCAGATTTCGTTCTTGCGATGTTTCGTTACTGGTAGAGCTTCAGTTTGGGCCCACGGTGGAGTAACCATCATTGGTCGTCCAAAGATCCGTTGTGACGTACCTTAGAGGAAGTCAGTTGATCAAGTCGGTTGAGACATTTTAACCACGCACTCCACAGGTGCTTCCAATCCACACGGAAGTCCATCTTAATTTCGGTAGGAAAGTAGAATTTGACTGCAAATGGTGATGATATCGGGCCTCAGGATTCCGAATTCTTTCGCTTTGTATACTTGTACGAAAGTCATATCTACTCGAATGTACGGATTTGTATTCTTGTGTCCCCGCACATAATGCCATCTCTGCTATCGATGCGGCCAAACATGAGCCATGAACGTCTTGTAGAAGTCTTGTAGAAATCTAACATGCAAACATATAAAAAACTGAAAATTGTATCTTCAAAAGCTGCTTTATTCCTTGGCCTCTTCTGTGCCAGTTTCTTTCGCTTCAAGGACTGTCGTCTCTGTTTCGTCTGAAGCTTGTTCGATCTAAAAAGAAAAAGAGTACGCACTTTTGAGCCGGAATTATTGACGTTTTCTCTCAGTATGACATTTCGCATTTTACCAGCATATATTTTCCGTATTTTACATCATTTTAGTACTTTCAGTTTGTTCTTGAAAGTATTCCGACCCGGAAATTGTCCATTGTTTTGTCTCTAAAAGATCTCCAGCTCGCGATTTTCAAATTAATTATTTTAGAATTCGGCACTTCAAAGGGAACAACAACGCTATATCTTCCC